AAGAGACATGGGGACAAATAAAAAATCAAATCACAATATTTGTGAGACATTGCTGATTTGTGTGATATTTGTCCCTTCGTGTTCATCAGGTCAGGAGACCCAGATGCATATGAAGCAATGAATATTTACCCATTTTTATTTGTCCTTTTGAGCAGGCTGGCCGAGGAATGGAAAAGTTTGTCTTCCCATAGCCATAGCCCCCTTGTCAGTGTCCTGCTATCAACTGATTTTCAGGACACTGACAAGCAGGCTGGCTGTGCGGAAGGCAAAACCCAGGTTCAGTTCTTCAGCCAGCCAACTAGTCAATGACCTGACTGTCAGCTGATCGGCAGGACACTGACAAGCAGGCTGGTTGTGGGAACGGAACCCAGGTTCCATTCACACAGCCAGCCTGCTTGTCAATGTCCCACTGATCAGCGGTACATTGTGTTTTACAAAAGAATCAATGAATATTCATTGACTTATTGCTAAAATTTGTTGCTTTGTTGCTTCATCCATTCCTCAATTTTGACGAATGCTGACAAAGCACCATTTTTTTCAGATTCATTCTCATCAATAAAAAGCAAAGAAAAGAGTCTGTGTTGCAACCCAAATTGGTGTTCAGATCTTGGCTTTTTAAGTAAGGTATCATTGTCTAAACACAGGCTCTTCTTTGAAATTTTAGGGGACTGTCATCAGTGGAAGTGATGGCCAGGCATAAAAGTATGTCTTCACATAATGCATGACACCACTGGCACAAGATGTGATGATGGCTCTCTTCTTATGGTTTTAAGATGGGTTAGACAAATCCAAGGATTAACCAGATCTACCAACAATTCACTTACCTTGAAAGTCTTATTACAGTTGCTATAAATTGTATGCACCTTGATGACACATAACTGTACATCAAAGCTACAAGCCATGACGATATAGAATATCCATGTGCTTAAGAAAATGCACAGATGCTTAAAGAAAAGGACACCACTCATACTAGAAACCATATACTGGACCAGATGACTCTTAGCAGGACCCCTCTCATACCTTCATGCAAAACTGATTCATATTTCCAAGGAATTTATATTTTACTGAGGTGTACAGATTTGGGAAATTCTGGAAATTTATATGACAACTCTCAGAATTCCCCAGACAGTTGCACCATTTGCAAAATTCAGTGAATTTTACTCCAAAACCACAAATCCTCAGTATTTTATTGTAATATTTTACTGAGAGATAAAGTTGATGGAAAAGAAAATATTCAGTTAAGAGCATGAATCAGCTTTCATTATAGATACATCTTCACAGTACTGTAAATACAGTATTATGCAATGATGTAATCACAGCCTTTTATTTTACAAAATACACGGCATTTACACAAGGAAAAAAATGAAGATAGGTTAGCTATAAAAAGGTTTTCTTTACTCTTTCAGAGTCTATTCTGTACAGTTAATATGCTTTACATATCTACACACTTCTGCCAGTAACTTTATGCTTACCAAGTTGCATATTAATACAATTAGAGAACCCAAATAACACACGTATTTGCCTGGGTCACTTACCATATTGTTTTATTTGCCCAGCAACACAACCTGCAGTTGTTCCTGACCAAGTCAATATGTGGTAACAGGTCCTCTAACTTGCCTTAGTAATTATTCTCCTTTCACTGTGCAAATATTCAGTCTACTCTTGCCCAGCACAATATAAAGAAGCCTCGACGGCTGTGATATCATTGAATTTTGCCTGAAAAGTTCCCCTCTAGCATTGAAGTGTACTAGGGGGCTTTATTAGCACCGTTTATCTAGGCAGAGCTCATGGTGCAACTGCTTATCATTCCCATTTATATAAGAGATGTTTTGGGCATTATAGTAGTGTAAAGGGGACTACTTATCTGAAGATTCATCCCCTGGTGCAGCTATAAGTGCTAAAGTCTTGTCAACAACACAGCAAGGGCAAATTGCTAGGGTCCCTGCTATTTGACTGTCAGTCCTAATTGTCAATTCTGGCTGATGATAAAGACTCTGCACAGTCAAGTCCCCCATGGTAATCTGCCCACACAGCCTTTGAAAAATGACAGTGATTGTTGGATGAATGAATTCAGGAACTGCCTTCTGTGTACCTAAATCTGACTGAAACACACACAAACACATGTATGTATGTATGTATGCACGGGCACATGCATGCACATATATTTTGTAGCATCTCGAGGTAATATAATCTACTGTAAGATAATACTACACTGATTCACGAGTTTCTTTAAATGCATAGTGGACCCTGGAACCTGAAGCTTTTGCCACAACAGCTTTATTAGTCTTTAAAGTACCACAGGAACCTTTTGATGCTTTGGACACAACAAGGTAATATAGTTAGCTGGAATAAATTCTGTTGCAAATCATTCCTGCTAGTATGCAATCAGTCCAACAGATAATTTAAATAGCAAACATTACCCTGTTTCTGCAACACTTCCTCATTACAGCAAGCTTCCTGTTACCATGAAGGAGTTACAGAATCCAATCTTAGACTGTTATTTTTTTTCCTCCTTTCTTTTGATTTTCACTGTATGCTTCAAAACAAATGCATTTTTAAGCTCAAGGTAGGAGCTCGGTCTGCTTAACAGGATGCTAGCCTTTTTACTCACCTTTTAAACAACATTGTTCTGGCTCTAGGAATTTATACATTAATGCATAAGCTCACATGGCATCGTTTAAGAGAGAAAGGTGCATCTGTGAATGCAAGGCACATGCTTGAATTTAAATCATATGTGAAGACACATATCCATGTTTTCAGAGAAGAGGGGAAAATCAGTGATAATCTTTGCACTGGTTTAAAAAATTACATGTAGACACCTGCACCTCTTTAAAAGCAAATTAATATAGTTCTCATAATCTTTTCTCCACCCGCAAGAGAATTCATAAGATTTTATATAACAGTCCAAGTTTATCCAAATGTAATATCTGAAAAATTGGGAGAGAAGGGTAAGACAAAAGATTATTGGAACAAATCTAATATTTGGTCTTTGCTATGTCAGGACCCTGATCTTTTGCATCTCATTCCACTGGCTGCAATGGAACTTACTCTTAGCTTTGCAGCTTTACAGTATGTAGTGGTGGAATGTTCCAAAGCTCAAGTAGGTCATGCCAGTTATGGTATGAAACCAAAATGAAAGGCTGAAGATTTTGTGCAGCCTAAAGGGAAGGGACGTGGTGGTGCTGTGGGTTAAACCGCAGAAGCCTCTGTGCTGCAAGATCAGAAGACTAGCAGTCGTAAGTTCGAATCCATGTGACAGAGTGAGCTCCCGTCGCTTGTCCCAACTCCTGCTAACCTAGCAGTTCAAAAGCATGCAAATGCAAGTAGATAAATAGATACCATGATGGGTAATGTGTCTAGCCGTGCTGGCCACGTGACCATGGAAACTGTCTTTGGACAAATGCTGTCTCTACGGTTTAGAGACGGGGATGAGCATCACCCCGTAGAGTTGGACACAACTGGACTAAACGTCAAGGGGAACCTTTAGTGTTACCTAATGGGCTTCGTTCACAGATCAAGAGTGTGGTAGGAAAAAGACTATATCTTTCTGTTACCTCTTCCTAGCAACCACAGTCCCTATTTAGCATTTTTTTAAAAAATATGCCTTTAAAAAACAGTGTCAGTGAACACACATGTAGATTAGATTTAGGTCTTCCCCCTGCCATGGTTTGCCAGGGCACCAGTGTGTCTTGACTCTAGCATACAAATAAGTGAAGGAATGCATGGGGACAAAAAATGCCACCCTACTGCAGCTTCATTCCTGCCTAAATATATATTGACCTTAAAAGTTTTCTTCAAAAAAACAACCCCACCATCCTAAAATCAAGTTGAACAGCATGGGAAAGCACATAACAAATCCAGGTGCATTTATTACAAAACAGTAGCAACTGAAAAGTATCTAGCAAGTATCTACTTCTAATAACAGCCTACAGCAGTAAGAAGAACATGAAGGAAAATGTGGTCTGAGGGTATGGTTTCAGAAACAGTACTTCTTGGTACTAAAACAGGGTTACTGCAGATACAGTATACAAGAATGTCCCTGTTTTCTTTGTTAAATATATACAATACACATTCATTTCAACAGAAAAGTACAATTCTTGCAAAATCACAATTTGTGCAAAATAGTTGTTGGAGGACTGGTCATTTTTAGACATATTTTACTAATTTAAAAAGCCATTTCTGTAATACAGCAGTAATGGAAGAAGCAAGTAACACATTATTCATAAAACTGAATGGCAAATAAGTAACACACAGCTTTTCTGAATAAGGTTTCTAAGTTTTGAGCACAAGTGACACACCAACAGTAGATTTTGATCCAGAAGGAGAGATAGTACATGCATAACTCATTGCAACACAACTGAAAAAATTCAGGTATTATTTGTATTAATCTTGGTATTGCGAAAGTATAGCTGTGGGTTTTTTTAAAATCTATAACTTTACTGTCTCTCGTAAAGAAGTCCAGAATTCTTGTTTTCAAACACCTACACCCAAAGGGAAAGAATCTCATAAAGGGAATGGTAAATCATGTGATCTAATTGTGTGTTTTTTCAGATCTTTAGTTTTTCTAATCCTTCATTAACATTTATCTCAAACTCAAGACTATGAGTTTAGCCATATCTGATCTTACTTATTTCGTATGGGAGCTCTAAGATCATTGGATCTAGCTGGTCTTTGCAACCCATTTGTTCTTCATCATATCCTTCCCATGCTGTAAACATATACAAGCAGACATGTGCTTTTCCGCAGTAATTAGGATGCTGAAGCAGTACAGCTTCCCCTCAATAGCACCACTTCACCATTCACTCCACTGCCAGTTATGTACATCTAATCCATCCTACAATACAAGAAACAATATTGTATGGTCATGATCTTTTAAACTAAAGATCAGGAGTTCCTCCCACAGGTAATTAGATAGATTAGATAACCCTTCAGTCGGATCAAGCATGATCGTATGTTCTTATGAGGCATCAGCCAGTTCATTTACACACTAGGTTTCCTACCTGAAGGATGTAACCTCGAACATAGTCCCGGAGCGTCCAGCCCAAACCATGCAGGATGTGCAGTACTTCTTCTTGTTTCAATACACTGAAGAGACGATCTAGCAGTATCTTCAGTCTCACTGGCACAGCCTGTGTACCATAGAGCATTAAGCTGCTGATGTCAAACACCACATTGGATTGTACAATCTCCACTTGTGTTGGATGGTATAGGTGCTGAGTGCTAAGCTTGTCCAAAGCTACAGAGGGAGGAAGAGAATTGAGAAAGGAGAAAAAGAAATTAAATTCACTCTAACATGCAGTAACATAATAGAGGTTTCTGTGCATATGGTTCTGTGTTAGTTAGAATTTAAAAAGCAAGATACTGAAGTTTTGAAGCAAAGGTGTATAAAACATATTAATCTGCCATATGGGAATCTATGGGAATCCTATGGCTGAAACTCTGTTAGCACAATAAGTCACCACTAGAGTAGGCCCCTTTGAATTAATGGAACATTTGGGGCAGTTGACTCACCAAATCCTCAACAATCCAGTGGGACGCCTTTAGTGCAACATATTACACTAAGCAAGAGGATTTCAGCCTGTATTATCATTTTTCAACAAATGATACCTGTTTTGTTACTCAAAGACCTAGTAGGGAGGCAAGAAAGCTTTCCTGTCATGTCATGCTATACAATGCATGCAATGTAAGTAAAATAAATGTAGTATATTCATCACCCCAATGACCACCTTGTGGGATTTATGCATTTTGCTATACATATTACACTGTCACCATAGAAGAACCGTCACATAATGGGGAAGGGACTCTTCACTACCTATCACAATCAAGTTATTCAGAGAATACTGGGAAGAAACAGGGAAAAGGGACAACAGCGTCTATAGGGGGGTAGGAGCTGCAAAATGACATGTTACCATAGTGCATGCATAGTGTGCACACCACTACAACACAGTTGTACAATTACAATTTTGTGGAGTAATCTCACCCCACCCAAAAGACAATCATGTTCAAGGGATCAGAGGATCACAGGAAGACCCACCAGATGGGCACTTGCTAATCACAGAACAGAATGGGATCATTCTTTCTTCAGAACCTAAATAAACTTTATTTCATAAGAAAGAAGAATCCTTAATGCATCATCACCTTCAATGCAATGAACTTGCTCTATGGCGCTATAGATATTTTAATGGATTTTTGTCAGCCTTTAAAATAATGTTGTAGGGAGTCCTCTTTCTCCTTGTGTACTTTTGTATCTCCTTTGCTTGTGGTCACTGGAGGGTTCATGTACTCTTGATAAATTGCTTTCTTATATCCACAGTGTAAATGCCCTTATCATTTCCCTGCTGGTTTCATTCAGCACAGTTGCCTCTGGGGATACTTTGTCAAAGAGTTCTAGTTTCCTTATACTTCATTTCCTGGTACTGATTTGTCTGATTCCACCCCATCCCCCATTTCTAGCAGTTTAGTCAACCTTGAATAAATAGGTTTGTAAAAATTAATTTAAAGTTTGCAAAAGATAAGGGATTGGCAAGCCTGGGGATTGAAGTCCTCCGTCTTACTGCAGACATTCACACTGCAGAAATATGAAAGGCAATGTTATGCCAAAACCACTCACAATTAATAATTTTATTTATTTAAATGTACAAGGCAAGGCCTTTGCGAAGGGCAGAAAGAGCACCATATTTTCCATATAGACAAAAATCATAACATACAGTATGTGGATCTATTCATGCAATAGCCCTACATATTTATAAATCTTCATCATGGAATATAGAAAAATGTTAGTTTTTTGCAGACATAAGACTGGCAGTCTTTTTGATGTGGTTAGGATATTAGGTATATGTGCTGTGGGCTCTTGTGCTTTGTCTTCAACCAATTTCTTCTTCCTTATACCATTTGCTTTAAACCTAGTGTACAATTACATTTTCACATAAAGCCCAGTCAACTGTTCCTTGTATTTCTTTGGAATTCCTTGCACTTTGTAGCTTATAATCCACAAACTGGCCCAGCCAGTTTTTATAATTCACCAAAATTCAGGCTGAAATAGATCTCTTAAAAATGCACAATAATTGGGTCTTTTTTTGTTTGTTTGTTATTACACATATTGAACCTAACTAACATGGCTACAAATTCGTCAGATTTCCTTAATAAACAGTGTTTGCAAACCCACTGCAAATCATAGATACAAATACTGGGTAGCTGAGAAATCCTAGCCAGCACTAGGTAAAGGTAAATGTTCCCCTTGACTTTTTTTTAGTCAGTCGTGTTCGACTCGAGGGGGCAGTGCTCATCCCCATTTCCAAGCCGTAGAGCCAGCGTTTGTCTGAAGTCAGTTTCCACTGTCACATGGCCAGCGCGACTTAGACCCGGAACGCTGTTTACCTTCCCACCGAAATGGTACCTATTTATCTCCTCGCATTTACATGCTTTCGAACTTCTAGGTTGGTGAGGAGCTGGGACAAAGTGACGGGAGCTCACTCCGTCGCGTGGATTCGATCTTACGACTGCTGGTCTTCTGACCCTGCAGCACACAAAGGCTTCTGCGGTTTAGCCCGCAGCACCACCACGTCCCTGCATTAGGGTTCTGCATAATGCAGGTGGAAAGCCATACTGCCATTAATTCAAATCGTGGTAGGAAAGAGACATTCATATGGCAGGAAGAGGGACAGATGGATAGCACCGGTGACATGCTCCCAATCTTTTCCTAAGAACATTCCATCTTCATCAAGACTTAATTAGAGATCTAGAATGTTCATTTTCGGAAATTGTTGGCTGCTGGAAAAGTTCTTTGAACACATGTTTATTTTCCATTATTGTCATATACCATATTCTTAATATCAAAAGTTGTTTTGTGTAACCATAAACCTGAGATGTGAAGTATGGAAGGTGAAGACATTAGAGGTCTTGGCTTTACCTCAGAAAGCATTTTTTTTAAAAAAATTTATATCTTTTTGACTATTCAGTGTTTTGTCCATGAGTTTATAATAGGTAACTTATGAGCAAAAAAGGTATAAATCTTAAATAACTGCTGATTTGAAATATGTATATATTTCATGCCTTTTTATATATGCTTTTTTATATATGGGTGAAACCCAAAAATATTAAACTGTTGACATGGGAAAATCTCCCTGTAACCTGCAATTATCCATCTGGTGTCCACAAAATCTACTGAAGAGAGTCTGAACAGCTTTGACGTGCTACCAGAATAGGGTGAGGGGTTGGAAGGGAAAGAAAGGCTGGTCACAGAAATGGAAGTCTGTTTGCTTGGCATAAGAAGTGGCACAGTATATCTCTGCATATAAACTCACACAACAGCAGTTATCCAGGATGGGGAAGTGTATCTTGACAGTTTCATATACATTCTGTAGTTTATCCAGAGGAAATCAATTTATTACACACTCCTCAACCACATGGGTAAAGTTCCTCCCCAAACCCAGTAAATGGCACCTAACTGAAGTCTACAAAAATAAAAAGTGGATTGTAAGAGGTAGACCTCAAAGAGATTTGTCCTACCAGGTCTACTGCAAAATCCCCACTGATTCAATGGGCTTACTCTAGTTGTGACTTATTACTGGATTTTGGCCAATGACTTTTATTAAATGCAATTAACATGTCAGTAAACTTTACAGAAAGCTCACAGGTACACCAAAAATATGGTAGCTGCCATCATGTTGAGGTGAAGGAGCAGTCGTCCTCAGGCACCTCTCGTGGCTGCCCATTGACTGCTGCCACCGGATCACCTCCTTCAGCACCACTCATGGGCTCTCTTCGGGCAGGGGACAAGACAGCAGCATGAGCTGGAGGTGAGCCCCAGTAGTGGTGCTGGAGGAGGTGATCCGGTGGCAGCAGTCAATGGGCAGCCACGAGAGGTGCCTGAGGACGACTGCTCCTTCACCTCAACCTCCTTCCGTGTATAAGACAACCCTCAATTTTGCCTGTAATGATTTTAGGGAAAGGGGTCATTTTATACACGGAAAAATATGGTAGCTGCCATCATGTAGCACCACAGGCTCTGGTGCTGACTGTTGTGAGTTGCTGGCAACATCTGGAAGGTCATACATTGCCCATCCAATGCATTGTTGTTGCTATGAGGAATTTCTAAGCAACTGCAGAAAAGCAAAGCCTTAGTGGGACTATAGGGCTGCAGTACAGAAAGAGTCACAATCCAGAGATCAGAATATCATACCGCAGACAAATAATACACATTGGAGCTGTGCATTCATAAATATGCAACTTCAGATACTTATTTCAAAACAGGGGTGTGGGGAGTAATTTTGCCTTGTTTTGAGGAGCTCCAAAACCCCTAGAGCTCTTCACACACCTCTTAAAAAAAAAAAAATAGTACACATTATGATGCAAGGGGGCTTTTTGAGAGGGAAAAAAAATCCCAGAATTTTGTAAGAAAAAGAAAATTTGTGGCTGGAGCCACAGGGGACCAGCCTTCCAAGCTTGAGATATGTGTATGTATACCTTCCAGACTTTTGCCCACTCCCAACCTAGGGTCTTGTCCTTTCATAACACTTTTACAACTCAGTTTTTAGGTCTATCCATATACCTTGACCGTCAATATCTCAGTCAAAAGGGAACTAAGGACCTGCCTGCCTGCCCTTCTCTATGGACTTTTGCAGTTGTCTCAAAAAAAGATATATCATAACTAAAACTTGTAAAACTATATTATTAGAGATGTGTAAATAGCTCCAGTATAGACAGCTAATGATCCAGGCAAATTTTCCCCACTCTGAAATTCTGAGGTGACAGGCCTCCCCTGTTTATACCATGATCTCCCCCACTCTCCAGCCTTGATTTATCTTCAAACACCCAACAATTATAAATTGCTTTATAACTATCACACCCCACGTCCCATGAGACTCCCAACCCACTTATGTGGTAATGGCTCGTTGTAATAGATGGAGATGGAGGCAGGAGGCCTTTCTTTTTCCTGCTCTGTGGTGACACTGATAAAGGAAAAAAGTCATTTTTCTCTTCCCTTTCCTCTTCGTGACACTCACAATGCTAGTGTAGCACTATTCCAGGAACTCTGCCACTTGCAATTTCTCCAGGGCACATTAGTCCACATCTCTCCTGGACACCTCTTTCTTCTTCCTTTCAGTCGCAATGAGAGCCAGGTCTGAATGGGTTGGTGAGGGGTCAGAAAATCTGACAGGCAGCAAAAGCCAGTGCCCTAACACTCATCTCTTAGTGAAAGAATGCGCTGCAAGGTGTTGAGGTTCATATGCGCTA